CTTAGGGCAGTAGATCAGAAACATCTGGAAAGTTTCGAAATGTGGTGTTGGAGAAGAATGCAGAAGATCAGTTGGACCGATTATGTGAGAAATGAAGAAGTGTTAATTAGAGTCAGTGAGCAGAGGAATATCCTACACGAAATAAGAAAACGGAAGGCTAATTGGATTGGTCATATCTTACACGGTAACTGCCTTCTTAAAGAAGTTATTGAAGGAAAGATAGAGGGGCAGATAGAAGTGACCAGAAGACGAGGAAGAAGATGTAAGAAGATGCTGGATGACCTTGAGGACAGAAGAGGATATTTTCATTTGAAGGAGAAAGCTCTAGATCGCATCAAGTGGAGGAACTGTTTTGGAAGAGACTGTGGACCTGTCGTCTTGATAGATTACAGATGAATGAATGAATGAATGAATGAATGAATGAATGAATGGCGTTTTATCCCAGAAGACAGTATTCTTCATGACAATGCCATGAGAACTTAAAATCCAACATTCAACAGCCTCAACATACTCTAAAACTCACTTGTTCCATATGGTGAATTAAAACACTCTGGTAAAGCAATCAAGTATGATCCATTTTCCTTAGCCTTCTTGATGAAGCTTAAAGCTCGCTTTACATTTTCTGCTTTATCTTCACCAACAGCAAGCTGGATCAAAGCAAGGCGGAATGCTATAAAAAGAAAGATATAAAAAAGGGCACACATAAATAAAAATGACATCACAATATGATAGCATACAAGGGATTTAAGGTACCTTGCCACACACTCATAACGCTCAATGACATATTTATATATAAGGGTCTATTATCTTTTTACTAGACAAGTTTCAGAGCGTTAGTAAGCACAAGTATAATGTTCGCATTATGCAAAGTTAATCGAATATCCAAATTTTATTTCCCTCTTATAATTATGCTTGGTAAAGCTATCCCTGTAAGACTGTGGAGGCCCATAAGGTTTTCAGATGTCAAGGCTCCCACATTTTCCTGGCGACTGGCTCACAGATGGCAATGAGGTTGCTAGCCTTATGGGCCAGCTGTTCTTTATCCCCAGGAAAATTTCTGCAACTCACTTCTGTTAGAGGATGAATTTTGTCCATATAATCACTCTTAACCAGTGACAAGACACCTTTCTCTTTCAGAGAGTGATAATACACCTCAACACATCGTCACAACCTAGAGGTCCATTCACAACACCAAGATCGTGCAATCCTTGTATGGTCACAGTCCTAGAGTCAGAAACAAATTTTAGCTTTGCGATTATTCACTCAATATTCACTCCATTGTGAGTTTTACATTTATGTGGTCTATTCTGATTGTGTTTAACTGAAGTTTTTGTTTTGCTTTTCAAAATTCCAGGGAAAAATATTTTAAGAAATGTTATTCTCAAGAATTAGGAACATCAAAATTGGCATTGTAAGAAACGTTGTCAAAAATTGTTAATGTGACTGAATGAAGCACCAAATACATTCTTTCATGTGTATTTTTCCAAGTGATCAATATACAGCAACTACAAATGGATCACTTTATCATCAAACAGGTTGTCTCTTCTTTTGCTGCCAAGATATCAAGCAGGGTAGTAGGGTGGTTATTGTCTAGACTCATACACAGGAGGTGATCAGTTTGAATCTCTGCCAGTACAGCACCTATCATAACTGAAGATTTTCACAGTTTTCCTCAATCCTTCCAGACAAATGCCAGGATCATAACTCAACTAGGCAACAACTGTTTCATTTGAAAGATATTCCATTCATCGAACATCCCAACTGATAATATTTTTATTGATAATGCAAGGATAAATTCACATGATGTTATCTTTATTAGTAATGGACTATCTGATCACGACACACAGTGCCTTGTACTAAAAAATATCGATAACCTGGAGAAGAAAAAAGTGCAAGGAAGCACAACAAGATTAGTAAACAAAAAATCAATTGCACAATTTCTTAATAAACTCTCTAATGAGAAGTGAGAAAATATATATAAACTTAATGATGTAAAAGAAATATTTAATTCATTTTTAAATAAGTATTTACTTGTCTATGAGTCATGCTTTCCGAAGCAAAATGTAACAAATAAACATAATGACAATGACTGGATAACAGCTGGAATATGTACCTCCTGTAGATGGAAGGAATCTCTGTACATTCTCAGTAGAAGCAATTACAACTATTTATTTAAATCATAATATAGAGCCTACTGCACAATATTAAGGAGAGTAATAAGAGAAGCTAAAAGGAAATATTATAATCAGTTAATTACTTCAGCTGAAAACAAAATAAAAACTACTTGGAACATTATCGACATTGAAACAGGGAGGAAAAACAATAATAATAATAAAGAACGTTTACCAAAAACTTTTCAAAATAGCATTAAAAAAATAAATATTGAGCAAGCTGCTCATAGTTTTAATAAATATTTCACATCAATAACAAAAAATCTTAATATAAAGAAAACGACTGTTTATACTGCAATGTCACACTTGCATACCCATTTCCCTAACGGCTTTGCAGAAATGAATTTTAACTGAGATGCAGAAGAGGAAACAATTAGTATAATTAATAAATTAAAATCGAAAAACTCTTCAGGGTACGATGGCATAACTAATAAAATAATAAAACTGTGCAGACAACAAATTAGTAAACCTCTAACCTATGTAAGGGGGCACACGGTAGCGGAAGGTCGCGGGATCGAATCCCAATGAGGTGGATTTTTTTTCAATTTACCTAATCCTTCCAGCCACACTATGGCCCTGGAGTTGACTCAGCCTCTAATAGAAATGAGTACTAGCAATATTCTTGGAATATTCTTGGGGGTAAAGGGTGGCCGGCGTGTAAGACTGACAACCTTACTGCCATCTATGAGCCAATTGTCTAGAATATGTGGGAACCTCAACATCTCACAACCCTATGGGCCTCCACGGCCTGTTACAGAGATACCTTTACTTACTTACTTATGTAATTAATAAGTCATTAACCATGGGTCTACATTCAGAAAGATTAAAATATGTGATTATTAACCCAGTATACAAAAAAGGGGAAAAGGCTGTTAAAAGTAACTACAGACCAATATCTATAGTAACTGGGTTTGCAAAAGTATTTGAAACTGCAATTTCTTGAAGACTCAATGATCATATCTTAAACATAGGATGTTAATTTCAGAGCAGTATGGATTCCAAAAGGGATTATCAACTGAAGATGTTATATATAAATTAATGAAAGTAATATTTACAGCTTGGAATAAAAAAGAGTATGTAACTGGTATATTTTGCGATATAGCCAAGGCGTTTGACTGCGTCAATCATGAACTTCTATTAATGAAACTGCAGTACTGTGGAGTGCAGGGTGTATTATTGCAATGGTTTAAATCTTACCTCCAATACAGGAGGCAAAGAGTGGAATTACATTATATAAATAATAAATATTGTTCTAACTGGGAAATTTTTGGATGTGGTGTGCCTCAGGGATCGGTGTTGGGACCCGTACTTTTAAATATATACATATATGATTTCCCCCTTGAACTAAGTAAAACTTCTGAAGTTATTATGCTTGCAGATGACACTAGTATTCTTTGCACAGCTAAAGACTACTATAATTTAAAAATAAAATTGGATGTTGTTTTTAGTCATATGTTTATGTGGTTTCAAAACAATCAATCTGTGTTAAATCTGGATAAAAAAGATTATAAAATTCACCCCAACAGCAGCTACGAGCTACCCACTACATATGTTGTTTCTTAACAAAATGCTGAAAGAAATACAAACAATAAAATCTCTCAGTTTGCAGCTGAACAATCATCTGTGTTCTAAGGGACATACAGAGTTTTTACTTCATTCACTGAGCAGAGTTGGTTTTTTAATGCGAGATTTATCCTATGTATTAAATATTAGCAATCTTAAAGCAGTATATTATGCATATTGTCACGTATTGGGTGTATAACACGACAAATAACTTCACGCCGTTGTTTGGTATAGCGAATTTATTCTGTTCGCTCGCCTTACACACACTTTACAAACATTTGCCCTTGCAGTGTTACAATCACTGCTTATGATGTCCCGGCAGTACTGGACTCTCTTCTCTGGCGGTTATTCTAGGACTGACTTCTAAGATGGCTCGACCGCGACTGACTTCTTAGCTGGCTATTCCGCGACTGAAGACTTCTCGTCGAAACTGGGCTTTTATAACTTTGGCCGCTGCTAGGCAAATGAATCCTCTGTTATAGCAGTGGAAACGTTGCTTTGTCGGTTCCCCGTCTCCTACGCAATGACCCATTGTTATTGCGCTGTCTCTGTGGGAACGCTTCGCGTATTCGTCGTAACCGTGGAGATTCCTGTTAGAACTACAGTAGAGCGAATGTTGTTTCCTATGCAACGGTCTGTTCTAGCGTTTCCATAGAAGTGACTCTTCTGGATTCCAGACACGTTACAATATTATCATTCATTGGTGAAATATGCTTACTTACTTACTTACTTATGGAGCTGAGCCCTTCTTGAGAAGCCAAATCTGCAGCTACTCAAGAATTTCCCAGCATTTCATGGAACCCGAAGGTTCATTACCGTGTTCACAAGAGTCCTCCACTGGTCCATATCCTGAGCCACATCAATTCAATCCATACCATCCCATCCTATCTCTCTAAGATACATTTTAATATTGTCCACCTACCTATGCCTTGGTCTTCCCAGTGGGCTCTTTCCTTCTGGCTTTCCCACCAATATCCTATATGCATTCCTCTACTCCCCCATTCAGGTTACATACCCTGCCCATCCCATCCTCCTTGACTTGATCATCTAATTATACTTCGAGAAGAATAAAAGTTATGAAGCTCCGCATTATGCAGTTTTCTCCAACCTCCTGCCACTTCATCCACCCTCGGTCCAAATATTTTCCTCAACACCCTGTTCTCAAACACCATAAGCCTATCAGTATGAGGGGTGAGCCATAAAAACCGGCCCTTGCACCACGAACTTCAATGATCAATTGTGCTTCCCCTTTGGCTTAATCCTTTATTAATTCTACACTTTGAATGAAATGTAGCACTTTATTTATTGGAGCGTCATAGAAGTCACTTGGTTCCATAAAGAACTGACCCAAGTAGCGAAATTTTAAGTAAGTTATAGCCTCACAATCACATAAGATGTGTGTGGCTGACTCATCTTCTTGTAGGCACCTTTCCCAAGTTGGGTCATCTGTCAGTCCCAGTTTGAAAAGGTGCCCTTTTAGGTGGCAGTGTCCAGTATGTAATCCTACCACTGATCTTAATTGATTTTCCTTTAATTTTAACAGGTCCCTCGTTCTTTTGGCAGAGGGTCCTGATATACATCCTTTTGCCTACTTCAGTTCAGTCGTGGATTCCCAGTGTTTTTTGTGATTTCTGTTAGTAGAGTCCCTGAATGCTTTCTTGGCAACTCCAATTGAGATGCTGCAAGCTGGTTCAGGTCCTCTGAACAGTTGTTCAGACCCTGTTCTTGCCAGATGATCTGCGGTTTCATTCCCAGCAATACTCTCCTACTGAGATTCCGCAAGCTGGTTCAGGTCCTGTTCTTGCCAGCTGATCTGCGGTTTCACTCCCAGCAATACTTTCCTACTGAGATGCCACAAGCTGGTTCAGGTCCTATGAACAGCTGTTCAAATCCTACTCTTGCCAGCTGATCTGCGGTTTCATTCCCTGCAATACTC